GTTGACTCAATTACAGATGGGTCCATGGAAGAATGCAAGAAATTCATGCTAGTTGATGTCATGATCCAAGCATACCCTTCACTCAGTAGGCCTAACTTTTTTGCATTCAAGAAAAGGCGAGGAACAAGAAAATGTGATACATGCACCACAAATACCGTCGTCTTCAACTTTGTGAGGTTGCGGAGCTCTTCAATGATCTGTTCATCTGCTGAGGAGGCAGCAATGCAACTTTTATATACAATAGTCACATTTGCTTCTTCAATGGAGTTGATAAAAAATGGAATGATGTCTCTCCCATAATCTGTGTTCTCATATAGAAGGATGACAGCCCTCCATTTGAACATTTCAATAAGGCCACTGATTGCCGTAACTTGAGAAGTTTCATCTTGTGTAATCTCCACAAAGAAGGGATATTCGCCAGGAGCACCGAAAGGACTAGTACGAAGTCCAGAAAGTGACAATACAGGGACTTTAGCTTCTTCTCCTAACTCTGCCAATAGGTTTGCTTCCATTCTTGTTTGTGCACCAATTATTGCTTCCACTTTGATCTTATCCAAAAGATTTAGAGCTGCATTTGGTTGAAGATCGCAACTAGAGTTTAAGATAAAATTATATAATGATAGTTTCTTAAATTTTTTTATTATTATAATCATTATAACAAAGTCTAGAAAGAAAATTAATTTTATAGTAGAAAGACTAAAATATTAATATGTGGCTTACCAGCTGATAGAGCATGCAGAGCTTTTCCTTTGGAATCTCTGGTGTGCAGAATTACTCTTGTGCTGTAGTTATTATGCAGATGGTAGAAATCAGACAGGGATGTTGAAATGCAGCTGAGAATAATCTTTCCTTCCCTTGACCCCATATCAAGAATCACACCAACATGAACCTCTTCCACAACAATATTGGGACTGCCATCAATTTTAGCACACAAGAGACCTAGAAGGCTAAACAAGGTCACAAAGGACAGGCAGAGGATGGTTTGCTTCTTCCCTTGAAACTCCATATACACAAGAGACCAACTTAATTTCTGCTTCTCTATTGTTTGGTTTAACACCTGATCAGTATCGTCTTGCATATATATAATGCTTCTTCATATGTTAATTAATTAGCGCTACCTCGCCCGAGAATATTAATTTATATTAGTAAAATAAAATGCTAAGGAGGAAAACTATCACTATCAAGATACCGTTTACTTCTCTTTAATTAGTGGGAGGGGCTGCAGGCTGTGGACTGCAAGATATAAGAAATTCCAGTGATTAGGAAATTCCAGAAAGCAACGTGAATAGGTTGACCAAGACTTTGTGAATGGTGATTTCAAATTTAACATTAATTTTTTCAAACGTGTTGCATGCGTTATGATAATTTAAAGAGCACCTCTACCAGTCCATTGCTAGAGTACTCATCAGGACTTGTTACAATAATATTCATATAAAGCGTGTACTATTACAAGTTTTTATAAGCCTCGGCCTTGACTTACTAAACCGTGTGACAGGTACAACCTGAAGAGTAGCAACAAATTCACAACAAATAACTGTACTATTACTATCTCTATGGAGAGAACTTTTCTTTGGTGTCGGCAAATGCCAAACACACGCTGATAGCTTTTGATACTAGTCGTGGCCAGCTAGTCATGGAAAATACTAGTTTTGTATCATAATTCCAACTCACAAGGTTGGAAAAGTATATACAACCGAGTATAGTTTTCATTGGTCAAGCACTATAGTTTTCCGACTTTTCATAAGTTGGAATTGGATGGCATATGCTGCTGCTTACCTAAAGAGTTCAGAAATACATGGTCCTATAATCAATTAGTATCTAGCATACTATTTTTCTTCAAAGAAATATTTGATACGTACAGAGAGAATCAATCTATAAACGTGCGTAAATTTGAAATGAACACTATCATGTGGGGCTAGTGTCAAACAATTCTCAACACTTATAGATTACCAAGCAGATTTATGAGATATCGTTTAAGTTTAAATTCACACTGAAAAACAGGATTTGGCTCAGGATCGCCCATTTTTAATTCCAGGGTTTCTCTGAATTTGAAAGTTCTATCAAAGCATAAATGATGAAAGACTGGTTGCTGACAGTGTTGCTTCCTTTATTTGAAGTGGTGATTTAACTTTTGCTTTCAATTTCAATATAATTTTAAGCCCCTGATATTTTTTTTTTTTTTTGATTTTTTTATTTTTATTTTTTGTTTTGAATGAGACAGGAAGAAAAATCTGAAAATTTTGTGGTTTCAGATTGTGAGAACTAGGAATCCATATTGAAAGCAATGTAACAGATATTACTCCATCTTTCTATCCATATATGTATGGTATTCTCCAACAAGGGACAAATATAGTTGACCCATTCCCAGTCAATGACATATACTTTTTTGGTTGTTTTTTGAGTCAAGCCATTCCTTAACACTTGAATAACATCTTTTGCACAAATTTTCCAGCACTAGTGGGGCCATTAGAATTGGACCAATTCAAAGATGTCAAATTACATAGTAGTATACAAGGAAAATACTTCCCTCCTTACCATATAAGTAGAAGCTCATACATTCTTTCTAATAGCAGTGTGAATAGGGATGGCAACGGGGCAATACCATCCCCGTCCCCGGTCACCATCCCTGACCCCATCCCCTCCCCAATCTCCGGTTTAGGCTTTTCGGGGAATCCCCGTCCCCCGTCCCCGTCCCCGTCCCCATTGGGGAAGTGCCTCCCATACCCGCCCCAATACCCGATTTTTAATAACATATTTCTTGTAAAAATAATTTTCTAAAGCACAATCACATCATTGTGAAATTTTAAAAACAACCACCACAAGATATTTCTTGTTAAAATAATAACTCAACAAGGCAAAGAAGGAGGACACAAAACTTGAAATAATTTCTATCCAAATCTTTAGAAACTTTTTTAGTAAGCACAATAAATCCATCTAGTCTCTAGGGTAACTTTGGTTATTATATTACATAAAGATATATATATATTGATTATAAATAAATATATTACTTATCGGGCCGGGTTCGGGGATGGGGATAACAATCCCATCCCCTGCCCATCCCCGGTCGGGGATTTTGCAAATTTCGGGGATCCCCGTACCCGGCCCCGATTTTCCTCCGAAAACTCCCCCCGTTAGGGCCGGGGACCCGACCTGACGGGTATTATTGCCATCCCTAAGTGTGATATGTGTGCATAAATTTATCTTTTTGTATAATTTTGATTAATTATTTTTGCATATGTGTCAAACTATAATTCACAAAAAGGAAGAGTATCTCCTTATAGTGAAAGAGGCAAGCAATATCCAGTATACTATTTGATACTAGTCGTGGCCAGCTAGTCTTGGAAAATACTAGTTTTGTATCAAAATTCAAACTCACAAGGTTGGAAAACTATATACAACCGAGTAGAGTTTTCATTGGTCAAGCACTATAGTTTTCCGACTTTTCATAAGTTGGAATTGGATGGCATATGCTGCTGCTTACTTAAAGAGTTAAAAAATACATGGTCCTATAATCAATTAGTATCTAGCATACTATTTTTCTTCAAAGAAATATTTGATACGTACAGAGAGAATCAATCTATAAACGTGCGTAAATTTGAAATAAACACTATCATGTTGACAGGACCCGTCCCGAATTTCCCAGAACCCGAGACGAACCCTGCGGAGACCCCGGCATCACCCCCATGCCGGGTTCACTCCTTAAATCTACGTCCTCATTTGCCATAGAGGATTAAGGGCACGAGACTTTCTGCCGAAATTTCGGCAGAGTCTCCCCTATAAATTGAACATTCCCCAAAATTTCCACCTGCAAAGAACGCATTTTATAACCCAACTGGCAGCATGCACAATAAAAGCTCATGCAATTTACATAAATGGCCTCCAGCCTTCAAATGATTCTAGCAAGACTGCCCACAAAGTTCTTAAAATAACTTAATGCATCAAACATGCATATAACAACTTCAAAATCTACTCACGCGCACCTTCACTCACTTAGTCCCCAGGACAAGCCTCAATTCAACCAAGTTTTGG